CAGAAACACAGTCATTATGTGGATAAAAGTGGCAGAGAGGGAATAACTGCCTGTCTCTGGCAACTCTCTTTGTTCATCCTGAACAAAAGCAAGAAACCTCCAATTACCTTTTAAACAGCAGAGAGGAGGTATATAAAACCCTATTAGCTGGGAACTGACCGGGCTGGGCACATCAGTACTTCACGACAGCTAAGAAAGCAAGCTAATGCTATAGGGACCCCCAAAGAGCAACGCTGCTTCTCCAATGGAGACAAGCAGCCTGGTAAGAACATCGTGACGAAGAATCTAGTACAAACAGCAGGAAAAGCTGCCGTCATGAAGACTAACCACGATTTCCCAAATACAATTTAGAGAAGGTAGCATTTTAGAGAACACACACACAGAGAAAGCCAAAAAGACTTGAGGCAATTTCTGCTTAAATGAGAGGCCAGTACTTTGTCCATCTCGTCTCTGCCACTTGCTTGTCAAGCACAAGCACCTCTCACCAAAACGTACCTAAGGGTAAACATGGTTTACCCACCTGTAATTTGAGCGCTGCCGCAGTTACCCATTTACCACCACTCAGCCTGGACCACTAAACAAACAGGTTTGCCTGCTCTCCCAGAGCTTAGCCAGAGATAATTCTGCAAATGCCACGGTAAGAACAGAGCAGTTCAACATCACACAGACCGGTGCTAATTGCTTCTGCAACCTCCAGCTTCTACCCAACATTAGGCCCACAGCTAGGAAGGACACTAACAAATTGAAAAGGCAAAAAAACAGTACTACGGATCAGAACGGATGAAGGAAACGCTGCTTACCCTGAAGAAAGAAGATGAGAAAATAGACAAAGTACAGAGATGAGTCCTGGAGAAGGTGACCTGAATTACAGCAGTTCATGGGGCGGTACCCTCGGAGGGTCACCCTCCAAGTACATAATTAGTGCCAGGCCTGAGAAAAAAAACACTGTTACTAAGTTAATGCAGCCAAGGGGAGAGGGGGGAGCTTGGGAATTGGGTGGACAGGGCAGAGAGGGTACATTTTCTTTCTTAATATAGAAGGAGCAATGATGAAAGAAGCAGACTTTCCTCACCCACAGCCAAGTCCTGGCGAAAATCAAGAGAAGCCACTGTAGAGATCAACTCAGAAGATCACTGCTGCTTTGGTAGAGTGGTAAGGCCTGAACAGTGCAGATAGCTTCCAAGGAAAAGCAATTTTTCTTTAAAAGGTGAAGAACAAAGGTTGTTCCCTCCCCCCTTCTTTCCCTTCACCCCCTCCACCCAAATACAGTGTAAACATTCAACCCCAACACACCAAATTCTGGCTACCCTTTGTGTGGCTGAACGTGCCAAATTTGTGCTAATCTACACAGAAGAATATTATTCCCATTATGCAGTATATCATCTGTAAAAATGAAACAGAATACAGAATTAAAATAGATGAAGATGAACAATAAAGGGATTAAGATCTAAACTGTTAAGATTCAGTCAAAAAAATCATATTTCATTCTAAAACTACATATGTAACAATGTATTTGAAAACTTTGTTCTTCACTTTTAAGGCCATGTTATACTGAAGAGCCCTGTAGCTTGCGTTAGGCTGTGCTGTCACATCAAAGTACACCTGGAAGGAAGCAGCAGATGTGGGAGGGGGGAGAAAGAAGTGTGTAGCCTGGAGAGTTCAGAAACTATCTCTACTGAAGAGGAAAGAAAGACAAGTTAGATGAAGGGGAGGGGGGGGAAACATTAAAACACACCAACTGTGAAGAAAAGACTGGGAACAGACTTTGCTTGTAATCCAGAACACTAGCAGCTGCCCTTACACTTCACCACAGTTAATGAAGACCTTCGTAATTGCCTTAGTAATCAAAATAAGCATATCCCCAACATGATATATACACACACACTCATATATATTTAAACAAAAGATGTTGAATGATAAACCGTGGTAATATACCCCAGTTCCTTTAAGCAGAAGTTAAATAATATTTTGTTTAAGAATACAAATTTAAGGTCAACAAGCCCTTAAAATGACAGGCTTGGAAGTTGCTAGCATAAAAATATTCAATGTTTATGAGGACATACAAGTTCCAGAGGAGAACTAGTTATACACAGTTCATTATAGTTTTACAGTGAAAATGTGACTGTGTTTAAAAAAAAAGACAACAAGACCAGAAAGCAGACACACTTACTGTGTCTGTGCTATTCCTCAAACCCTGGCAGCCTCTTATTCCTAATAAGTATCTTAAAGCTCCTGCATCTACAGAACACCTTGCACCCAAAACTATGCCTAAGTTATCAAAGGCCTTACAACACACGTAGACAAGCACTATTTCCCTGAATACCTCTGCAAAGGCTACTTTCCCTTTCTGCTTCCTTGCTCTTCCCACCTGAACTCCTCCAACTTGATGCACTACCACACAGTTCTTCAACCTAAGGCAAACTGCTGAAATGGGAACCCATCATGAAGCTAAAAACCCAAAATCAAACAACAAAACACATTCAAGCCACAGAAAACAAAATACAGTGGCAACCTACCACTTACACTGTAAGGGATCAGAAATTAAATTATGATACTCAGTTCAAGCAGCAAAGAGCATTACCAACAGGACACAGTTTGATTAACTAAAATTACAGAAAAACTTCTTGAAGTTTTAACCAATGGATGGATTCTTCTTCATTAGAAAGCAAAGCACTCTGAAGAAGTAGGTGGATGCTTAAGCCTACATATGTTTTAAATAAAGAAGGCCTCAATATATTTCCTTTCAATCATGAAGTATGTGTATAGACATGTATTTATCATGCATTCTGAGCAGCTCCTATACCATTGCTCGCCCCATAGAGAAGAATCCAATTCTCCGTGCAGAAAGCAGAAACGTGGGACATATAAGTTTAAACACTTCAACAGTGAGTGCTGTAATTAAGCCTGCCTCTTCAAGAAAGATCATCAAAGGGCACTGGGGGAAAAAAGTAAGCCTCAGGGGCATAGTCTTCTGTGATCTTCCTTCACTGGAATCCCTCCCACATCAATCTGGGAAGAAACCGTACCCTGCTTTATAGAAAAAGCAGTACCAAAGCCAAAGTCTGTTGCACTGGAAAGAAAATCAGCATCTACCTAGAGCTACCTCACCATCTAGGACTTGCGATTATGCAAGACAGACACCCCCACATTCGGGGGCAAACTGATACTCACATAGTGCTTCACTTTGCCACAGGTCTTTAACGGAAACTTCCAAAATATTCAACCTGTACAACGCAATAACCTAAGCACAGGTCTCTGAACTCTGAAAATTACCAGTGGTTTTAACTAGACTCCTTCTGCCATATGCCAGCTGTCTGCAACTAGCCCTCCCACATGCATTGGCTAGTCAGTCATGATCTTGTGTCATACTTCAACTGGATCTGTGTTAGCATCCTTTCTGTAGCCTGCAACTCCCACCCCCTTCACTGCAGTTCTCTGAAGCAAAAACTGCCTACTCCTCTGTCCAACAGCCTCCATTTTTAACCACCGTGCTTTGGACTGTCATAATCCATACGTATTAATCTTACAGCTTTATTCAAGCCTGTCCAAGCATTCCCTTTCAACTGCATGCTGTTATTGCAACATGGCAGAGCTACTGGATGATCAGAAATTAGATTTGTGTTAGGTCTTTTGTACACTTTTACATAGTCAACTGCAGTATTTTCGTATTAGACTGTTTCACCATTAATTTTCTGTACTGTGAATTCAGCTGAAAATGTCAGGCGCTTTGCTGCAAAATACTACCACAAATATTCAGAACAAAAATTCAGGGAAAAACAAAACCCACTTCCTTCCAAATAATGGCTGATAACTGAAGCCAGTCCCCTTTTGCTTTCTGGGCCTCCACTATGATCAAGTCGCTGGGAAGAAGCAGTTTTCCTAAAAGCTGCAACTGTTTTGTCAACGTAACGACTTAACTGCAAAGAAGTTTAGTAACCTGTGTTACCAGTTTCCATGTGGTTTAAGAATGCAAAGGTCTACAGCAACATTCCTAAGCACCTGCGTTTCAAATACCAAGAACGACACATTTTGAAATCTAGCTCTTAATTTGTACCAAGCTGTAGAAAACAGACAACAGAGGAACCCTGGGGAGCAGGAAATGGACCTCCTGCATGATGCAGAGAGGCAGCAAGGAGACTGCCAGCATCACAGTATAGCCTTGCAGCTAATAAATAGGAATGACCTAAGGCTACATCAACTTTGACCCCTCAAATCTCCAACATCCAAAAACACACAGGTTCCCGCTTCATTTTATTACTCAGTAAACAAGAGAGATGGTTACAATCAAGGTGTGTTACAAGTCAAAGCAGAACGTGAATACAGTACATCATATCTTTCATTCTGAAGCATTCAGGATTTTACTCCTTGACTACGCTTTTGTGTACCAAACACATGCAGCTGTGATGCAAAGCCAGTAATTTTCCCCTCTACAGTCAGGGACCTGGCTCAGTACATTTCCAGCCACCTTGCATATTCCCAGGCCTCATACCAGCTCTAAGCCTACCACATGATCTCGCTCCTTCTCCTAGGTTAACTGAAGAGATCACCTTACATTAGAAAAGAAGCAGCTGGGGAAGAAAAGGTATATTTAAACATGCATTCAATGGGAAAATGATATAGTGTACTTTGTGCAAGATAATATTTCTCTGTTTTAAAAAAGAAAAAAAGAGAGTATGTGTGGGTGGGGGAAAGGAAAAACATCAAGAAGCAGTCATTTTTTTAAAATGAAAATATTCATAAAGATCTTTTTCCAGTGGTGGTCTTATTTCTTAGGAGCACAGATTGCAGCAGAGAGGAAAAAAACCAAACCCATACAATTCCTTTCACACACCTGCTAGACTTTAAAAACTGTCTTAGTATGTGGTACCTTACTATAAACTACATTAGTAGGGAGATTATTCAAGAGAAAAGAATTGTTTTTATCTCGCTGTTTTAAAAATTGAGTATGAAAAATGAACACGTTTAGCAAGTTGATGTAATGTAAAAATTTGAATACTTACTGCGTAGGAGCCTATGAGGAATGCAGCATTAGCTTGTTTTTTCTGATCAAAGCCAGTATAATGAATTATTTTCTTCCTTATCAATGAAAATGACTGTATCAAGAAATAAACAAGATTATGATTTTGCATTTTAGGTTTTTCGTGCCTTCTTTTATAGAATTAGAGAAATGCAAAGGCCTGTTCACCTACTTTCAGCCACCTGTATTCAGAGGACCATGTATACTGTAGACTAGTCCCTCAAAAGCTTTGGAAGACTCTATTGCATCCCTACCTAGATTGTTCCAATAGTTTTCCCAGTATCCAGCCTAAATAACTTCTGATACAAATTAGAGCAATCTTTCTTTTTCTCCTTAAATGCATTTAGTATTCCTGACTCCAAGCCCTATGTAACACACAGGTGTTTACTAGAAGTGAATACAAATTGGCATTCTCAAAAACGTCAAAGGCATGTTAAAGTCGCAGTAGTTTTGAAAACAGAATTTAACCTTTTTTTATTCTTAAAGAAAACCTGACTCTAGATAAATCAACTAGTAGTTGTTTCTAAGGATCAGAACCACTGGAAAACACATGCTTAGATTAAAATATTTTGAAAGTATTTCTATACTTTGTCATAAATAACTTTTTAAAATTTCATCGCAGCTTGGCATATATCTTCTCCAATTCTATTAGAAAGGGGGTGGAATGGCATTGCCAATAGAAAGGACACTTACATCTGTGGTGGCAGCAAAAACTATCCCCTAACTGGCCCCTGAAATAAATTTTGATGCACCTGAAACTGTGTACTTTGATCAACTGTTAAGCTATCATAAAATATCACTATTTAAATAGCAATGTTACTTGCCCAGATACTATTCAATGCACTCAAGACAAATAAACCCCAGATCACTAGCAGTAGCATGTTCTCAGCAACCCTAACACACCTCTCCAATATCTAACCCAAGACATTCAAAGGGATTATAATATAGACTTGTGTTGCTTCAGAGCATCCTGTAAACAAAAGTCAGAGAACGTTGTCTCCAGCAAACTTGTTCCTAGTGCCACAGAGACAAAGCAAGGCTGAATTATGCAAACTAATACCAGTGACAGACATCAAGGAATTAAAAAAAAACCAACCAAACCTCTGTTAAACTGTAATGTTCTGCATACTTCCCAATTTTCACAGTTCAGTGGCAGTTTCAAGATCTAAGCAGTTTTGAAGAGGCAAACTGTGATTCACATTAATGCTAATAAGCTTTTTTATCCGCCTAACACGTTTTATACTCCAACATCTGTTAGAGGTCAACTAACTTGAAGTCGTTCATGTTAATTAACATAAGAACTCTCTGTTTTAAAGACACTATGCTCTATCAAGAGTCCAATCCCGAAAACTACTGAGCACCCCTCAGAGAAGATAATCTTTTAGGAGCTTAACATTAGTTACTGCCACAGTGGTGCATCTTCTGGATTTTAAAGGTAAGAGGGTTTTCCTTCCTGATCCTCCTCCTCCCTAAATTCACCTTGATAAAATTTAGCATTCATGTTCAAAACCTGCTGGATTAGGAATCCAGGAAAGCACCTGAATAAAAAAAAAAAACAACCCCAAACTTTTGGCACATTTGGTTTTGTTTCTTAAAAAGTCAAGAATATTGAATAAAAAAACCCAAGTGTTACCTTTAATTTCTTATTTAGCTTGCAGCAGTATCTGTAGACCATTGCCAGATTGAGTGGTCCAAAGTCTGCATAGAAGCTGGTAGGAGAAAGGAGAAGAATTGTACATGACCTCTGTAAATGCCTTTTTTTTCTTAAATCAGATGCAAAAAGCAAGGAGTAATAATATGTATGTGATATATGTCCAGCATTCTAAAAACAAGAATGCCTTCTTACATACATACTATTTTGTTGGAGGAAACAGTTTTGTCACCTGTAAACAGGTACTAAAACTTTTTTGTTTTCCACACAGCACTACTCAAAACCAAACTGGAATACTTGAGGTTTGAAAAATTGTCACTACTGTATTATTCTGTGACACCAGTTTAGAAACTCTACTTCAAGAGCAACCCAAAAGCTTTACTTTAAAAGAAGACAATTAATAAAGCTAGAGAAAAGTGAACACAGAGAATAAAGACTGATTAGTACTTTCAAAAACAGTAAGCACGTGCTTGGTCAAAAATTTTAAAGAATTAGCAGCATTCCAGATCACATACAAAGGCATACATTGTTCACTACAGGGGAAATAATATATCCATTGTCAGCTCATAAAGGCTTGAATTGATTTTGCCAGTTTTTTCTCTTCCTCTAGAAAGTTTAGACATTCCACTTAATACTTGAGCAACCAAAGACATCCCTTCCAGCTCGGCAGGCCAGTGCGCACTTCTGAATATGTATTGTTGCATCGTGTTCCTGTGTCTTCTAACAACAAGGGGTAAAATGAAAGCTTCTGCTTTGAAAAGATTTTTAAGCAATCCTGATGGGAAGCCAAGAAACCATCCTAAGACATATAAATTACCAAGGCAGATAAGTCTGAGAGGACCAAACTTGTGTAATTAGTTCTGTAACGGGATGTATGTTTCCCTCAGCTACATTTAAAAACAGAATGTCAATTAGACTGGTTCCTCATTGCTGTTGTTCTGACTAATTTATTTCAATGATCTGTAAAAAACAGGAAAAAATAACTCTCTACTTACTTCTCATATACAAATTCATCATCTATGCAGAAATAATGGGTATTTGCAGCTCCACTCTTTGGTTTTTGGCAGAGAATTGCAAAATAAAGGCGATCTGAAATGCAAGAAAATTTAAAGCTTTTAGAAACATCACACTTTTCTGCTAAAGTCTGAAGTATTACCTGTCAACAGAACAACTTTAAATTGTTTAAAATAAACCGAATCTTCTTTTAAGTATTACCAAACCAGACATTATTTCTCCGGTGTTAAGCAACAGAGCACACAAAGATTGAGGCTTTTTGCTCAGTAGTGTTCCTGTAATCCGCAGTTCTTTAGTGTTCTTTCCCAAATAAAGTGTTCCCAAGAAAGCTACCTATTTGATGACTTTGCAATACAGCAGAAGACCAACTTGCACCCACGCACACAGCAGAGACCCACCTCCTCTTGGCAACAGACCCCACCTGTTGCACTCCAAATACCAACCCCCCCCCCCCGCAACTAAGCACAAATCCCTCAGCACCTCATAGCACCTACGTTAAACTAAACAGCGAAGCGCCCTCATGCCGAAACACGGGCGCTTCCGATCTTTCCACTAAACGATGATTTTGACGCTTGCGGCGTGCAGTGAAAGCCTGCAGGCGACAGACGCCGGAGGGATGCGAGGGGGCGAGGCGGCAGCCCGCTGCCACCCGCGGGAGCACCGGCGGAGCCACCACCTGGACACCCCCATCTGCATCCCCATCCCCACCCCGGCTGCCCCTTCGAAGCCTGCGTGCATGCAGGCAGGGGGCACCGTGTGCTCGCCCTCCTTTCCTTTGTTAAGCTGAAGGGAAAAAAAACGCCAGCGGTATTCACATAGATATAAATTATTTTTATGGCCAGGGGAGCTGTAGCCCCAGTGAACTTTAAACACCGACTATGCTGCTGCTGTAAATTGCTGTGCTTGCGGTAATTGGTCAATAAAAATTGAGGCCTTGAAGCACCACAATACTTTTCTACCTCATGCTGAAAAAATATCATTAAAAAAATACATGGATTAAAATTAAAACGTAAAAGAACAGATTTATTTTTTTGCAAACTAGTTGTCTGGAAGATGTATTATTTAAATATCAAAACAGATCCCCTGCATATAAATGTATAATTTCAAAGCATAATTTCTGATAAAGAAAAACTGTATCTCCTTTTCCAGAGAGCAGGGGAAAAAAAATCACTTTATGCTTCAAAACAAAATCCTCCATTATGGGACTAGCACTTAGAAATCATTACCTGTATCTTGAAAATACGCAGTAAAGTATGCCATGAAAGGAGTTCCCACGTCTGTATTTCAACACTCACATGCTCAGTGCTCACCTATGTACAGCAGTATCTTGGGGGCTGGAGGCAGACACCACCACCAAAAAGTGTACATTTGCTAAATGCACATTTCAGTACAACAGCAGCCTGATGTGAATGGTTTGGCTTAAACATTTACCGGCCAGGTGCAACCAGTGGGATGTACAGTAACTCCTGAGCAAGTCAGGCACCCTATTTCCTTAGTCTCAGCAGAAGCAAGGCATCAAACTTGCTTATTTAATATCTAATAGTCCCATCTTGTAGACACAGCAGCCGCAGGTTACCTCCCAAAATCTACCAGAACACCTTCTGGAAACAAGCCAAAGGATAAAAATACAGAGCATTACTCCAAATTTTAAGAAGCGAGTAAACTGGCCCACGAAGGGCAATACGTGCGAAGAAGCAAATGCACCAATACCCCAACTGGATGGAAAATACGCTATACAGAAAACTGCTTCAGAAAGGCAGTCATGGGAAAGTGTTTAGGCCAACACTTTGGGGGAGGAGGGAGCTCCAGCTTCCCACAACTCTGCTGCATCTGTCCCCACCACTGCGTTACTCCCGGTGCTCTGTCAAGGTGGATTTGTGTGAATCGGAAACTGTAACAGGTATCCTAGCATAGTATAAACAAAAAAAAACCCCAAACCAAACAAGCACCACCACCACCAAAAAAATAAAAATAAAAAAAAAAAAGCTGCTTTGCTGGTTGACTTCCCTCTGCCCTGAGAATGAGACCTAACGTGCGTGTGTGGGAGGGCTGAGGGCAAAGGAGGAAGCAGAAAGGAGAACTGAGAGGGTATGATATCTAGGGATTGTGTTTAAACTGGCATTGCTGGATTAAACACATGTCACACTACAGCCCCAAGCTACAATTTCACACCACTTCTAAACTGATTTAATGGCTAGCTGCCACCAGGTTCCTTACAAGGAAAAGCTTTCTCCTGAGTGAGCTCACTGAACCAGCCCACTGGGGGTTAAAAGTGGGAATACACAGCCAGAATTTTCCCCTCAATAGCATCTGTCCTTTAGATCCAGTCTAATTATTGACTTAGACTGAGCTCTCCCTGTACACAAACAACATCCGCATCAAAGTCTGGGCAAAATGGCTGTAGTACTCAAACTGACATGCTACCTTCTTGCACACCAGCTTCTTCATGTAAACTTTATATCACTTTTGAAAATATAAAAGCGCTACACAAAGAGTAATCCAAAACACTCAAACACAAAAGGAGGATCAAAATGAAAAGAAATACATTTGCACAAGTCAAAGTTGTAAAATAATTCAGCATTTTGCTCCTAAACAGGATTTGGAGTCACAGAATCACTTGCTTCCTCAGCGCTCCTACTTTTACTGAAAATCTTCTGCAGCTTTTGCAGAAATGTCCAATAAGAATTCCTATCTTGAGTGAACAGTGTGTACATGGCCTTTTGAATTGCTATTGGCATTCAATTCAGCACTGGTATCTCTGGACCATGTTAATTGTTGCTATTCTTAAAATACCTGAAAGAAACTCGAGTTTAATGAATTTACAGAACTACCTCACAATAAGAGCAGTGTGTGTCAAATGCCAATATCCTGACAAGCTGTCCGTTCCTGTGCACTGCTAACAATTGCTCCCTATTATGTAAACAGCAGGCTCCATCTTTTTAACATGTTTCCTATAGGGAGATTTTAGAAACGAGCTACACTGAGAAGTCCTTTCCCATAAGTGTATTTACCTTTCTACTGGCTTACCCGTCCAGTATCAGACAAGTACTGTATTACTCACCATGTCTGTTTTTACCTGGTTTTTTGCAAGCACGTTCCCAGTTCTGTTTAGGCAAGGATTAGTGTGTTGATTTTTTAATAGGAGTAACACATGCTGAGAGAGGAGAATTCCTTCATTAAGGATCTGATTGCAGGATGAGGGCTTACACATAAAATACACCAGCGCACTGATGAATTGATTTCACTAGGACTCCTCAAAGGTTTGGACTGCAAGAGCAAGGCTTCCATTTTATTATTTTTATGCTTCCTTTGCTAATTTTAGCTTTTTAGTATTTCATTTAGTGTGCTTGAGCACTTCCAGATTCCTGGAAATTTCTGATAAAAGGTCATCCTAAAACTATCAAACTAGAGCAGACCTTTCTAATCGTCTCTCAGAAGAATGAGAGAGTAAGGCTCACTGCCTTACAGGCTGCATCTGCACTGCAATTAGGAGACAGGACTGCAGTATGGTAGATATACTTCAATTACACTTAATTTTGTTAGCCTCCTATAACAAAACAGTTAAAATACAGAAACACGGACGTCACTGTAGGCAATTAATTTGAGTAAGCATCTTACGTACAACAAAATGAGCCTGCATACCCCTAACCGAGGACTATGTTGCCACAGCTTTGCTACTGCTGGTACATGAACTAGTGAGATTAAAGCTAGCACAAGCGTGTCTACACAAGCTATAATAATCACGCATCTGATTGCAGTGTGCATACAGAAGGAAAAGCATTTTGCTTGTTTTTCAGATCTACAGTGTTCTGTGGAAACAGACGTGTAGAAAACTGAGCACTACCACCTCAAAATCATGTTAACGTGACTATAGAGAGGACAAAATAATCTCCTTCCCTTTACTCTCAATAAGCCTGATGCTTCTCGGGATCTGCTGCACAGGCCTTGGAGAAAGAAATTTCAGTAATCCAACAGACAACTAAATACCAAATAGGCACTCGCTGCAGGACAAGTCTGCATATGATCAGCAAAGATTATTTCATAAAAAGAGAAATTCCACAGTTCCATTGTTAAACAGATGCCTTAGATGAGAAATCCAGAGGAGACTGACAGTACAACAAAAACCAACGTTAGTCTGTTTTGAATTACCACAAATGTAACCAGAGAGTTATTTACTATTGTAAGAGGAGTGTATTTCTAAATTCAGACCTGGTACATGGTATTTTGTTGTGTTTGATTTAAAAGACTCCAAAATATCAGGAAAACAAATGAGAAAACATGAAAGACAAATTCTGTTGCAATGTAAAGATGAAAAGCAAAATTGTAAAAGATTTTATTTTTAGTCATTTTATTCTTGAAAAGATTCATTCACCTATCACTATGATACTTCAAATTTCAAAGTGATGATAGAGTTGGCAATTAAAACAACAGCCTAGCATCTGAAAAAGAAAATGAAAGCACACTAAAAAGCTAAAGGAACTTTTTATTTAACAGAAAACCATGAAAAAAAATTATTTTCAGGGCCATGTCACAACTGATTGACACTTTGCTACTTTACTCAAACAGAGTCCCTGCACTCTGCGTCTCTTGTCTGATACACAAGACTACTTTACGTATGTTCATGCGCTTTCAGTGCTGGATTAGATACTAAAAGCCTTAAACTTGTATTTAAAATCTTAACTTTGAGAAAGACTGACAGGTAAGCGAGGTCATACTGATAAAAGAGTAAATACAACTTTTGTACTGAGATAGTTGTATAATGAAAACTAATTGACAGTGTTGATAGTTGAAAATGTTGGAAAGCTTAATGATACTCAGTAGAAGTGTTCTTAGCATTCCAAAACAAGTTTTCTGCACGATAAACAAAGTTTATAATGACAAGCCAGCAATACTGAAAAAACAAAAGACAACTCAATGGTTTGAAAAATAACCAACACAAAACCAAAAAACAACCCACTGATCAATGAACATATTAAACTGAATGCTATTTCATAAAAACTCCAAGTGACAGTGTAAGTAAAATGATTCTCAATAAAAGGAAAAAAGGCATATACAGTACAGCTTAGAGCATCCTTT